CTTTGTGGACTCCCCGGCCGCCGAGAGCTGGGCGCCGCGCGGGCACCGCTGGGCGCCGCTCGCCCCGGAGCGGCAGGAGGAGCAGCCGAGGCCGGAGACTTCAGCTCGGGACCAGGTAGGCAGCGGGGCGCGGCGAGGGGGCGGGGGCCCCGGGCTGGTCCCGGGCGCCTTTCCCGGTTTTTCCCCTCCCTTTCCCGGGTCCTTCCCGGCAGGGAACAGAGCGGATGGGCGCCGGGAACTCCGGTTCCCGGAATGCCCGGGCTGGGGCCGCGGCTTCCCTCGGCCCCCCGCCCCTCCCGCGGGTTTCGCCTTCCGTCCCCAGTCGCCTGGGGCCACCGGACTGAGCGGCGCCCAGGCGTCCCGGGGGCCCCTCTCCCGTTCCCCGCCGCGGCCACGCTCCCGGACACCTAACTTCCGCGCCCGAGTTTCCCACTCGGCGTCCTCCCAGAGCGCGCGGTGGGAGAGGCGGCCTGGGACCCCCGGCGGTGGGAGAGGGGACGTGGGAGCCGCAGCGGGCCGGCTGGAGGAGGGGCCGGGCGCTCAGGACGTGCGCTTCCTCCCTGCAGCCCCCCGGGATGCAGTAGCGGCCGCTGTGCGGAGGCCGCCAAGTAGCTGCAGCCGCCGCCGCCGCCGCGCAGACCCACGCTGGCTCCGTGCGCCATGGTCACCCACAGCAAGTTTCCCGCCGCCGGGATGAGCCGCCCCCTGGATACCAGCCTCCGCCTCAAGACCTTCAGCTCCAAGAGCGAGTACCAGCTGGTGGTGAACGCAGTGCGCAAGCTTCAGGAAAGCGGCTTCTACTGGAGCGCCGTGACCGGCGGCGAGGCGAACCTGCTGCTGAGCGCCGAGCCCGCAGGCACCTTCCTCATCCGCGACAGCTCGGACCAGCGTCACTTCTTCACGCTCAGTGTCAAGACCCAGTCGGGGACCAAGAACCTGCGCATCCAGTGCGAGGGAGGCAGCTTCTCCCTGCAGAGCGATCCCCGCAGCACGCAGCCGGTGCCCCGCTTCGACTGCGTGCTCAAGCTGGTGCATCACTACATGCCGCCCTCGGGGGTCCCCTCGCCCCCGCCGGAGCCCGCCGCGCCCTCCTCCGAGGTGCCCCAGCAGCCGCCTGCGCAGCCGCCGCCGGGAAGCACCCCCAGGAGAGCCTATTACATCTACTCCGGGGGCGAGAAGATCCCCCTGGTTTTGAGCCGACCCCTCTCCTCCAACGTGGCCACCCTCCAGCACCTCTGTCGGAAGACGGTCAACGGCCACCTGGACTCCTATGAGAAGGTCACCCAGCTGCCTGGGCCAATACGGGAGTTCCTGGACCAGTATGACGCCCCCCTTTAAAGAGCCGAGGGCAGGAGTCGGGTAGGGGGGCCTGGGCCCCCCCGCCCCTGGCAAATGGAAGCACAAAAAACCCAGCCTGGAGAGGCCCACCGCTCCGGGTGACCTGGGGGAGGGGGAACAGGCCCCTCCCCCGCCCCGCCCCTGCAGATGGGGCCGCGGACCTGGAATGTTTGGAGGGAGGGGGAGCGCCACCTGAGCTCCCCTCCCCCACTCCGGCTTCTCCGGAGGAGCTGGCTGGTCTGGAGGGACACGAGCAGCCACCAGTGGATTCTGGGCTCCTGTTCCCTTCTCCCACTCCGCCTCCGACTTCCCAGCCGGGGAGGCTGTGGGGGAGCTGAACTGCGTCCTGAGAAGTGCCAGGGAATCGTCAAACTTTCCAGAGGACCTTGTTTGCTCTTTGAATTGGTTTTACCGGAGCAGGCTGTGGGGCCTGGAGAAGGATGGGAGAGAGGGGGAGCCTGGGGGGGGCGCCAGGGCTGCGGCTGGCAAGGAAAAGGGGGCCTTTTGCTGCAGCCGGGGGTGACGGTGTACCCACCGCCCAGCCCAGGTTCTAACTCCTCTCCTGGGCTCTGATCCATGTCTGTCCCTTGGGACAATCACAGGAAACAGGTCCCTGAGTCCGCTGGGCCAACCTCCCAGAGACCTTCCCCCGTTTTAAGGGAGAAGTGGATTCTGGAGGAGCATGGCAGGGCGGCCGGTCAGTTGTTCTTCAGCCACCCAGGGCTGAACCTTCCAGCACCTGGGGGAAAGAAGGGGAGGGTTCAGCTTGGCGCCTCCTGACTTTGACTGGCTAGGAGATTCGCCTTAAATCATCCTCCCTGTCCCATGGATGGGGATGGCACTCAGAAGCCACCACTCAGCCGGGCCAAGCAGGGAAGCCAAGCAGTTCACTCCAGACCACGGCCTGGTCCACTCAGCCTTCTCTGGAGAGTGGGTGGGGAGCAGAATCCACGCCTTCCACTGGGCACTAGGAGATTGTCAGTTATCCTAGACATAGTGGCCTGTCACTCCCGGCAGAGCCACCAGGTCCCTTAGCTCCCAGACCCTGCACAGCCGTCCCCCCTTGCCTGGGGGAGGCCAGCAGGAAGTCAGCCCGGTCTGCTGCCCCCTGATCTGCAATAGCACTGATTGGTGAAAACCTACAGGAATTTAGCAGCGACGGAATTCCCTGGAACTGTTCTTTTTTTTGGGGGGATAATGAAACACACAAAGTTTTCTGTGTCCGATATCGGGGCTGGATGGGGGGGCAGCAGTGAGTTGGGGTGGCTTTTTGTTTTTTCTTCTGTTTTGTGTTCGTTTGGTTTTTTTCCATAATGTTTACAGTCTGCCTCAATCACTCTGTCTTTTATAAAGATGCCACCGCCAGTCCTCGCCCCTCCCCCCAGCCAGGCCTTCCGGGCTGTTCGGAGATGCTTGAAGAACCCGACAAAATTCCAACCCGTCAGACTTTGCACATATTTATATTTATATCCAGAAAAGAAACATTTCAGTAATTTATAATAAAGAGCACTATTTTTTAATGAAAACCATGCCTTGGAGGCTGCTTTCCCCTGGCCCTTCTCTGCCTTGCTCTCAGTTTCACCTAGCATCCTAAGAGAGGGTGCAGGGAGCCCCTGGGAGTGGAGGCTCTGCCCTCTTACCAGCAGCCCCAAGAAACCCTGGGCTCACGCTGGAACCCAGCGCATCTTCACGTCACTGTGCCCGCCCCTGTGTGTCACTGACAAGCTAAGGCAGCCACCTTGACTGTTAGTGCAGGGGTAATTCCTGCCAGTCTGATTCAGATCTAACCAGAATATGCAAAGCGAGTTCGAAGGAAACGCTTCAAAGGGCTTGCAGGGTGCAAGCTGAGCTGTGGTCAAAGCTTTGAGAGCCTCCAAGCTATTAGGCGCTTTGGTTGCTCAGGCAGGAGGTGTTCTGAGAAAGGCCAGGCTGCTGGGTCCTGGTGGTGGGTCCTGGTGGTGAGACTTGAGCACTTCAGGGTCTCTGGGAGCTGGGGGGAGGCAGGCAGGTGGGGCTCTTGCGGGAGGACTGAGTGTTCCAGGACTTCCCTGGTCCCTGCTGTCCCCACACCTCTGCTTTCCCTCTCCCACTGCCCGGGGCCCCAACCCGCCAGTCAGCACCCACCGATTCTATTTTTAGGCAGTCCTATGCCCCAGGCACTTGGAGTCTGTCCTCCAACCCTCCCATCCACCCCTGCTAGCAGGTGCTGTCATCCTAGGTTTTCTGATCCGGAGCTGGGGCTCCATGTGAGTGGGACTCGGGCTGGCTACTTCTGGTGCCTAGAATGGGGCTCAGTAAATATCTGTCGACTGATTGGAGCCAGCGACTGGGGTGCAGGGAGGTTTAGCAACCCTGTCCAAGGACACATTTCTTGGGAATGTGAGGAAAAAGTAGGACTGAAACTCAGACAACAAAAAAACAAAGCCACTGTCTCAGAAACTCTGGGAGCCTTCAATTTCCAAATGCCACGTCTGCCTCCCTACCTGTTCTATATATGCTCACGGTTGTCCCTGGGGGTCCCCTGTGAAGCCAAGTAGGTAGTACTCCCCACCGCCACTGCAAAGTGGGTAGTACCCCCACCACCACAGCCAGTAGGGTAGTAGCCCCAACCCCCACCGCCAACAGGGTAGGTAGTACCCCCACCACTACCCTGGGGCTCCAGCACTAGGGTTCTGCTTAAAAACTAACACCTCTGTCTCATTTCCAGTCTATGTCTGTTCCCTGGCCACCTCCCAGACCCAGCAGGGGGATGAGTGCCATCCCCAGGTAGGGGTCCTGTCCTCAGCTGCCTGTAACAAAAGCCAGAGCCCCTTTCCCGACACCCACTAAGCTGCTCCAGGAATCAGTGTCCAAAAGGCGGCAGGGTGGGTAAATAGGCATTTTCCTGCCCATATCCTGGACTTTGGGGAAAAGTGACCTGAGGCGTTGAGAAGGCACCAGCTGCACAAACCGGTGGGGACCATCACCTTGAGCACTGGGAATGCAGAACTGGGTAGAGCCGGCTTTGCAGAGCACAAGGGGGGTGGGTAGCCTCTGTGGGGCCTCCCCAAGGATGACCTGGGCCTGCGGGCCTGCAGGTCCTCTGCTACCTGCCTTCCGCAGCAGAGAACACCACGCCACACCTGCTGCAATGACGACAGGGCACCAGAGCCCCAGCACCTGCCACTCAGAGTCGCCCTGGACACAGCTATTTAGGCAGGTGGTCAGCTCTCATAGGGAACGGTTCCCTGGCCCAGGGGGAAGCTGCTGTCCAGGGCCCCTGGCTGTTGAACTTGATTCTGGGAAGACAGGGAGGTAGGAAGACCCTTGACCCTTGTCCTGACCTGCAGCTCCTACTGGCCCCAGCCTCCTTCCCAAGGCCTTCCCTGTCTCCCCATTTCCAGATCACAGACAGCACCTGAACCAACCCCTTGGTTTTGCAGACAAGGAAACTGAGGCCCGAGAGGGGAGGTGACTTGTTTTTGTCCACAGCAACACCAGGACAAGAATCTCCTCTCACTTTGCTCTGCCCGCCAGTGGCTCCTTCCTTTCCTCACCCCACCCACCTTCAGCTCCAACCCTTGGAGGGGAGGACCCCTTCGAGCAATTCAGTGGAGGGCTGCTGTCCTGGCCTCCAGGGGAAGGGGTGCCACTGGTCCCCAGATTGGCTGAGAAGTGCCCTGCCTGCCCTGGGACAATTCCCTGTAGCTAGAGCAGGGACCCCAGGCCCAGCCTCAGCAGGTTCAAGAACAGAACTGGGGTCCGGGCCACCAGAACGGGGGAGGCTGCTGCTCCCAGCCCCTGGGACCTGCATCACCCCACTTCTGCAGTACAAGAGTCCCTCCCAGGGGTCCTCCCCTCTTTCCAGGGCTGTTTTGTGCCGGCCTGGAGAGTTAGCGCAGGAATGGGAAACCCAAGGTCTGCTCTGGGGGAATGCTGTAAGTGGAACGTGTCATGGGCTGAGCAATGAGGATCAGCACTGGGGGGACACGGCCGGGGTACCATGCAGCGAGCGGTCTTTACCAGAAGGAGAGGGTGGGAGTGGGGTGGGGAGAGAGTGCATGCATTGGGGTGCAGTGTTCGGGCCCGGAACGTGGGGGGGACCAGGCCCCCTGGCCGGAGCCCCGCCCCGCCCCCTCCTGCTTCGGCAGCCGCCGGGCGGGCGGGCGGGCGCGCCGCTGCGAGGCCGCCCTCTGCCAGGAAGAGTCACTTCCCGGACACCGCGGGAGCCCTGGCGGAGCTATGCGAAGAATGTCCGCGCCGAGCGCTGGGGGCGGCACCTCCCGGGCCCGCCGCGCAGA